CCTCTTTAGTTTTGCATCAACACCTCTTTAACCCATCATACCCTGTCCTCCACCCCATTTTCTTCTTTGTCTTTCTTGCCTCCCCACCCTCTCTATTAGTCCATAAACCCTCTCCATCCCAACATCCCCCAGTTCCGATGAAGGGTAATGGACCTGAAACGTTGATCCACTTTCCTTTCTCCATAGATGATGCCTGACCTGCTGAGTGTTCCCAGCCATCTCAGATTGATCATGTCTGATACAGCACCTTGGGACGTCCTCCCGACGTGAAAGTCGCTATACAAATGTAATCTTGTTATTGTTGTTGATACCTCCAAACAGTCCCCTTGGGCAGGAAGCCAGAGTCCAGACAGGGACAAATTCCAACTGTGCGCAGTAGGGAGTATGGATCCGGAAAATCCCAGAGGCTCAGACCCACTGATTCAGTGTCATGTAAATCCTAGTGACTGGCTGGACAGTGACAAAGGCTGGGAATTGATTTCCAAACTGGAGTTTAACCAGCGAAAACCATATTGCTTGCCATGAAAGTACTGTCTAGCAAGCTTCTCACTACTTCACCTAGGACCACCCTACCTGTTAGGGCTTTGGCTTGCAGGATTAACAGAAGCTGAGTGGGAAGAGATTCAGCTCCCAGTGATCTGCCTCTCCAAGATCTGCTGATGAGCCAGCAGCATCAGCAGTGCCTTAGAGTAGTTTATAATAATTATAACAATAATTCTTAGATTTGATATTTAATTTTATTCTTTTTCCAGTCAGTTTCTTTGAATAATTACATCTGTTGTTTGCAATATGTTTGAAACAGGATTGGAGGATCTATTGCATCTTGTCTAGTAATTTATGTATTTGATATAGTCTACAAATCTCTCAAAAGGGCTTCACAGGAAAAGCATGTTTATTAGAAAGCAAACCTGGTAGCCAATTTGTGAACAGCAATGTCCCACAAACAGCAATAAGTGAATGATCAGCTTTATCTGGGGGATTGTTGACAAGGACTCCAGATAAACTCCTTTTTCTTTTGAATTTTGTCATTGGATCTTAACATCCACCTGAACAGGAGATGAGAACTTAGTGTATGGCTCATCTGAAAGATGACACCTTCAACAATGCAGTGCCCCACCCACCCAACACTGCAGTGGAGTGTTAGCCAAGGCTGAGTTCAAAGTCCCAACGTGAGGCTTTAACCCACAGCCCAGAAGCCAGAGCACAACCAACTGAGCCAAGCTATCACCACAATAGCAGTAAGCTCAAATTTGACTTTTCACAAAGTGTTTCGGTTTAAACTTATACTATAATAACAAAAAATTACATTTATATAGCACCTTTCACGTCAGGAGGATGTCCCAAGGTGCTGGACAGTCAGGGATCCACACCCAAGCCGGTGGTTGAGGTCAGGAGGGGTGGAAAGTGGGGACGGTAGGGGTAGGAGAGTGACCAAAGGCACGGTTGAAGAGGAAGGTCTTAAGACAGGTCTTGCAGTAAGTTTTCTTACTGATAATAATCCTTCAAGAAAAAAAATAATAATTTGGTCACTATCCATGACTGTTTGTGGGACACCGTTGTGTGTGATTAGCTGCCGTATTTTGCCCACAAATATACAATCAGTTCACTTTATTCTGTGAAGCACTTTGAGACGTCTACAAGACGTGAAAAACGCTATATCAAATGTAAAGATTATTATTATATATTGAAGGAGGTAAGGGAGGGGCCGAGAACAGAAGGACTGTGGGATGGAGTTTCAGACGGTAGGGGCAGAAAGACTGAAGGCCCGCCCGCTATTGGTGGGTCGGGCAAGGCAGGGAACCTGAAGCAGGCCTGAGACTGAGGGAGCGGACAGGTTGGTAGGGGGTTAGGAGGTCACAGAAGTACAGAGGAACAAGGCCATGGAAAAGTTAAATAACTGCGAGTTTAAAAGTGAAACTAGATATTGTGTTTATTGTGAAAAGTGAAAACAGTGCACATTACAAAATTCTAAAGCAATTCACGATCTGTATCTATTCCCCTTTTATACATAAACAGAAGTCAAATAGTTAGTTCTTACAATGATGTCCTTACTATTTTACTAAGATATTGGTGGCTTCTCTGAATTAACAAACAATTATTCAAATGCTTAGTTAGTCTGATTAGCAGAGTAGAAAACCTGCAACTGTTGATTTGGTAATTTGAAATTATCTAAACCCTCTCCCTTCACATTTTATGCCCCAGATAATTTTTCTGTACCTTTACGCTTCTCTCCAGACCATTCTCCAGCTGGCACTACTAGCGATTTACTGGAATTCATGCAAGTCCAGCCTAGCCATTTAGTACCTCTCCACCCACTTCACTCAGTCACTTTCCAAATTATTAGCCTGTTGTGTGTACAAATTCTGGTAGAGCATCTCCTCCTAATGCATTGCTGGATGATTAAAATGCTTAACTTTTAATCATTCAGAATCCACTCAGGAACAATACCAACGGTCTCCCACAAAGACCAAGGGAAGGTGCAAAGGCTGTCAAATGAATCCTTAAATGACCATTGCGAAAGATTGTTGTAGAATTTACTTTCAGGGATTCTAGTCTTTTAAAGTTTCTCAAGAATGTAGGTCTATTTATGCAGTTACGCTTGGTGGCAGCTCAGGCCATCAATACAACGTGCAGCGCTGCATTGCCTGAGACACATTGAGCAGAGATTCTCGCAGTCTCCACCCTGTACTGCACAGGGATGAAGATCAAGGTCCATTCTGTTTATTTGGCACATCATTCAGGTTTGGCATGATTTCCATACATCTGTTTCACACAGACAAATAGAATTAACCATACAGCTCGTAGCTCGAGCAGGTTGGTGATATTTTTAAGTTTGCACACCACTTGTCTGGCTTTCTGAAGCAATTGAACAGAATCTGTCAACATCACAGAAGTTGGCTGTACATTCAAACTGCCTAAAACATTTGCTGAGGCAACCAGTTTAACTCTTCTAGTACTCTTGCCTGAAATAGCCTTGTTTTAATTGGCACAGAATCAAGGTTGATGACTGTCTCTATTCATCCTTTACTGACTAAGGCGTTGGAGATCATTGCATAGAAAGGTTCTGAAGAATCTTGCACCTGGTACAAGTCTATAAAAATAGCTGCTGCTTTGAGCCAAGGAGCCTTGCCTTAGAGTACTCTCTCTTGATAATCATGATCCTTACATTTGATATAACGTCCTTCACGTCAGGAAGACATCTCAAGTGTTTTACAGGATTTGTTGTAAAATATAGTGACTGCAAATTTGGTAGACGAACACGACAGACAGTTCACACACAATGTTCCAGCAATGTCTTTTTCTAAACTTCATTTACTTTTGGTGAGAGAATCATATTCTGATTTGAACAATTAACCTGATGTCCATGTTCGTTTAGTTCTGTATGTACCACCTAAATAATGTGTGACAATACGGTGGCCTTTAACTCCTTGCAGACAATGTTGTTCAAATGAACTTGACCCACTAAGACAAATCTATATCCTCTCTTCTCAGCCTTAATATTTTAAAGTGTTTCTCTAATGAGTGAATGCCAAATCACATTAGTTCTAATACCTAATTTTGCTAATTAATTTCATCCTATCCTACAACAGAACGTACTTTCTAGATTCAGATCAGGCCTTGAAAGTTTATTTTCTAGGGAGAGGAACACTCATAGCGTTAAAATAAAGGCCACTTGCACAATTTTAATCTTTCCTGGAATGCTTTAAAACTTCTTGTCTGAAAATTCTCCTCTGCCCTCAAATTCGCTAAATCCCAAGACATTGCTACTTAGGCCACAGCGTTCCTCCTACAGAGCTACTGTTGTATTCTTTGTGAACTGCAGTGAGATCAACAACCCTTTAATCTGTCAGTAAACTAGTTCTAAGTGCCACTAACCATCAGGCAAGCCCCCCATACTGCTTTACACCACAATACCAGGAGACATATTTGCATATACAAGAGGGGTTCCAAACATTAGGGAGAAAGAATAATATAGAAGAAAAGGTTATTGTTTTAAACAAAAGGCCAAAATAACCACGAAAGGGAAGAACGGGTGAAATTGACAAAATAATAGAAATAGTCAATAATAAAATAAAAGTCCCAAAGGAGCAAATTACTACAAAGATCCCAGCCATTTTGAACCTACCTATTAACATAATTGGGCCTAGACTAATCTGGTTTCATCTTTAATAGGATTACAAATTTTGAACAAAAGCCTTAACGTAAAAAAAGTAACGCAATCAAATAATTGTGACCTGGCTGATTCTGCATTTTGCTGTCAATCAAGGCTCAAGCCAAATTGTAACATAATAACCCTTGAATTTGAGTTGTATAATGCATACTTGATGGTCTTTAACTGAAAGTTCGAAAAGGAGCAAAAACAAGTTATACTTGTATAGCGCCCTCCACATCGGAAAGACATCCCAGGACACTGGACAGTGAAGCAGGGACGTAATGAAAGTGTGAATCAGAATCTCAGCGGCCTGCAGTGAGAGGCAGCAGTGGAAGCGGGCAATGTTGCGGAGGTGTGGAAAGGGTGGAATGGATCATGGCACGAATGTGGGGTTTGAAGGACAGCTGAGGGTTGAAAAGGACACCAAGATTTTGTATTGGCTCAGTGAGGTGAAAAGTGCAGTCATGAATAGTGATAGTGTCAGTGGCTGAGGTGAGGAGGTGCTGTCAGGAGCCAAGCAGGAGGGCCTTGTCTTGCCAACATTGAGCTGGAGGAAATATGCTCTTGTCCAAGACTCTATGTCAGACAGACAATTAGTCAGGACATTAACGGCCCTGGAGTCGAAGGTGGAGGCAGCAAGATAGGGTTGGGTGGCATCCACATACATGAGATACCACATACGTACCCCATGACTGCAGATGACATCACTGAGCAGGAGCATGTTTAGATTGAAGAGGAGGGAACCGAAGATAGAGCCCTGCGGGAAGCCACACATGACAGTGCTGGGGCTAGAGGAGAAGCCGTTGGAAGACACAAAGTGCAGATGGTGGGAAAGGTAAGTTTGGAACCAGGCAAGGACAGAACTGTTGAGGCACAGGTGAGAGGAAAGGCAGTGGAGCAGAATACTAATGTGAAGGTAGTCAAAAGTAGATTCAGTAAACACAACATGCAAAAATATGGACTTAAATGACAAGTAAACAGTTGTCAAGTAGTCATGTATCACTGGTTCAGCTGTTTGAGGGTAAAATCAACATAACTTGATTGGAAATTTCTTGTCTTCTCCAGCAGACAGGAGCTGTCGATTGTTAGGACCCTTCCTTTTGTATTCAGGGTCATTTGGGAGCTGAAGGGGCAGCTGGTGAAGCGGGCTCAAAGACATCATCCTCAATTGTCTCCTCAATGGGTCTCATTTTTGCTGATGTCCTAGTATATGGAGACCTCTCTGTCACATTAAAACAAGAGCAAAATATCAGCAAAGCAAGTAATATCACCTCAATGAAACATTTGACAAAGCTTTATTAACATGCGCATTAGATAATGATTCTAACAAAATAAACTGCTGAATTTTCTACTTAGAATTAAATCCTATTTATTTTTCCACAATCAAGCATTCATGCTCATGTATGTTTGGTTATTTACATTCACTTCTTTTGCAAAGTTTCCCACTGTAATTTAAATCATGCAGAAAAATTCTCAAATGCATACCTTTCCTGTTGTAGGAAAAGCCATGGATTTATTCCAAACTCAGTATCAAATAGGATATAGGGCTACAAAATGAAGCTAACATTCCACAGGCAGAGACCTATTGGCCAGGATACCGGGAAAAACTCCCGTCTCTGTTCTATATTAGACACATTCCATTCAGCAGTGATATACATTCTCTATCATCACCATATAAATACAGCTGAGTCTGGTTAAGAGTAAGAGTTAATAAGACACAACTCAGTCAGATTTCAGTGGCAAACAGTCATGGGTTTCAAATTTGCCCCAATCTGTTCAAGGAGCTATTACTGAAGTCTACCTTGCCACTAATGACTGTGATATTCAGTCTTGGTCTATTTTTATGGGAAATTGCAAGAAGGGCAACTAATAACTTGCTTAATGTGAAATAGGATTACTTTTAACCAGTTGCAAACTAGACATTTCCCAACCTTGTACCTTAATCTTTAAGATCAGATTCCGGAGGTTACATGTAGATTTGTTCAGTTCAAGTCCGAAGGGGTAGTTTTGGAAATAAGACAGCAACTCCTATTGTTATACCATAACATCACCCTGCCACCAGCATGCTGAATGTGGACAGACTATTTTGAATAAGAAGCTTACACTTTCATTTTACCAAAAAATAACTGAAATATCAAGAACTGTGGCAGCTGAATTGGCTGCTGCTCATGTATCTCTTCGAGTCTCAATGCAGTGCATTGCTCGTTGTAGCTCAGCCAAACTGTAGTTCAGATTCGCTGTGGCTAAGCCGACCATTACAGAGGGACTTTCCTACAAAAAGGTGGAAAGAACACAGCAAATGCCATAGCAACTAGATCACATCAGAGACATCTCTAGTGGAAATAAAAGGGAGCGGGTAACATGCTCCTTCATACGGAGAATGTGATGCAGCAAAAGGATTGCTGATGAGAAGGAAGAAACCAAAATACATAACAGAGAAGGCCACCGTGTTCTGGTGGCTTCGAAGAGCATTCTGGAAGTCTTCACAACAAGCTTACTCACAATTAATGAATCTTTTTAAGATCCGGCGATTCAATTAAATCTCTCACAAATTAGTAGGATGATTTAAATTGTGAGTTTATAACAGATTTTTCAGTACCTGGTACAATGCAGTTAGTCATAACTGGACTGAGCATGAACAAAATGCATCAGTTGACGTCGGTCAGGCAAATTAGAGCAGTCTTGCAGGTTAGCTCCTTGTTTATAAAACAAGAGCAAAGCGTTAATTTCAGGCACAGAAGAAATACATGCACACACAATGCAAACACAAAAATTTCAATATGTCAACCAACAATTTTAATCAAGATGTACATAGTGTAGGATTGGTTTATGTAGCCACATCATCATGTTTACTTTCAAAGTTTTCTGAAGATTGCTTTTAGGATACATGGTGAAGCCTCATATTTGGATACTGATGAAATCTTACATTAGGTAGACTTTCTGAAGTTTTGTTTTGTTTAATATACCTTCGGGAACCACAGAATGTCTTTCCTCAGGAGAGTAAATCAATGAAGTTGAGGCCACAATATAATCTAACTACTGTCATATGCTTTGTGGAAGTAATGGGTTTACCCTTTTTCACATTCCAAGCTTTTTTTTACATGCTGAAAGACATATTTGTTGTCAAGGAGCATTGTTGGCCTGACAGATTGTCAGTCTGGCGTGTTGGTGATTCTGGCTCAGTACAAACACCAGATATGGAATGTCAGCAGTCAGTTAGCCTGGACTGTCAGGCTGTTGGAGAATGTCAAGACTAGGAGTGCAAGAGTTGGCCCCTGAAATGAAGATAAGGAAGTCTAATGGTTTATGTTAAGTGGAAAGTTGTTAGTTTCATGAATTGCCCTTTCTTTGTCGTGTTCAGGTGGATTTATTGCTACCAATTTTAGACAGTGAAAGCAGAAATGGGCTTGTGGTCCAATGTGCATGGTTTGATCTTGAAAGGACCAAACCTCCTCGCTCAGTGCAAATCCTGTTTTCACAGACTCGGAGTATCCTGATGATTTTCACAATTCCTTATCATTAAATGCTCAAGCAAGGTAAAGAAATGTGTCATTTATTTGATGCTCACGGACAGACGATGCAGTGGAACTTCCTCGTAAGAAAGAAGACAGTCCGTCCTCTGCGTCACTAGTACTGGCCATGGTATTTCTCACTTTCATCATTGAAAGCTGTGAGCACAGACTTGGCTGTCGCTCAAACTTCTTGGCAGTCTGTAATAGAAAGGAAATTGGATTTTCAGAAAAAATAGCAAAACATGCATCCATGCTTTCTATTGCATACCTGTAATATAATTTGCTTCTATTATACTATGGGTGCTCAAACGGCTCACTAAAGGTAGAACAGATTGTTGTAATTCGGTGACAAAACGTACCCTTTCCCTGCCATATAAGTGTATATGACCAACGAAACCATCAGACCAATGAAAAGAGTCTATGCCATAAAATACTCGCAGCCCTTACATGCGTGTTTTTTGACTGTCCTCCTGGGGGTGGGGGGATGGGGGGGGAGGGTAAGCATCATCTCCTTGGAGCTAAATCTGCGGTGGTCTCGGTAGTCTGGTTACTGAGCCAGGTGGGTCTGCAGTACTCCAAGACACTGCTGATAACAGCACAGCGGCTCATCGGCAGGATCTGGAAGGGCAGACCTGTCACTGGAGGCATGGAATCATCCTATTCAGCTCCTGTTAACCCTACAAAGCCAAAGCCAAAGCCCTAATGGGTAGGGTGTTCCTAGATGGACAAGCAGTGGGAAACTTGCCAAACAGTGCTATTGATTGCAAACTATGTGGTTTTCGCTGATTAGCCTCCAGCAATACCTCCAACATAGTTTATTTTCCTGCCAGTACACCCCACTCAGATCTACTATGCATTCCTCACCTCTTCCATCCTACCATCTGTGACCAATAAGCCCCCTCACTCCCTAGAATTTACCTTGCAATCTCTCTTTGTTTGTGCTTTGTAAACACCCATAAACTTCCCTTCCTCTCTTCCCTGCTCAGTGATTCAGCAACAATGTTCCATTTATAGAGCGCCCTTCATGCAGGGTAATGTCCCAGAGCTTCAGGCACGATCTGAAGATAAGGATTCCCCCATTACCATTGTGTTTTGCTTCAAGTTGGTTATCCTATTTCAAAAGTGCTATATAAGTGCTAGTTGTCACTCAGTTAACTATCTTACCAACAATAAAAATTTTTTTTTAAAAATCTTGATTTTTTTTGGTCAACTGGGTGACACATACAGAAACCGTTTGCCATGCTTGAAAGTATCCAAACAAAGTTCCATGCTTCCCACCTACATATGGAAATTCACGAATCTGGAATGCAGTGTGCACTCTCTTTTGGGAGGGACACACTTGCTTACCTATTTCAGGGCAGTAGTAGGTGCAGGTCAGCAAGGGCCAATGCTTGGGGACCTCAGAGTGTGCATTGGGAGTAATGCTGAACTTTAACCAGATAAATTACATAGGTTTCCATTGAGAGCAGTGTCTGGCAAGCTTCCCGCTGTTGTCCAGCTATAACCGGCCTATCTTGCTAGTTCATTAACGGGCAAGCTTACAATATATAAAAGCGTTGCCACCATCCCTTCAATAAACCAGGAGGGGGTGAATTGTCTTAGACTTCACTCACCCATTGGATCTGGTTTTAATCCTCTCCCAGGTATCCTGTGGGAGACCCAATTAATTCAGTTCAAAGTGCAAGAATGAAACATTTATCGACATAAAGGTAGGTCATAACCTCTTATTGCAGTACAGCAGGTCTGTCAATTCCGATGCAGGATTATTCTACAAGCATGTGTTAAATAATAATAATAATAGATAAAAGTCTACCTTGTCACTCAGTGTTGGGTCATTCAATGAGTACAGCTTATTTGTAATGTCTTTGCCTATTATATATTTGAACACTTCGTGAAGAAATGGTTCAGACTCCAAGAAGAAAGTCAACCTCTCTCTGGACCAGCACAAAAACTTGCAGGTATCTTCAGCTACAATGGTTACCTAAACAGAGAAAATATCAGTCTGAGACACTAGTCCTGGTATCCAAGCATAAACATCATTAACCTTTTAATATGAGCAATGGTATATCTTACAGAATCAAATGTATCTATACTATTTTAAAGGTCTCAGCCTGGCTCAGTTGGTAGGACTCTCACTTTTGAGTCAGAAGGTTGTGGTTTCAAGCCCATGTCAGAACTTCAAGCTCACAGTCTAGGCTAGGAGACCTGGGGGAGTGCTGAGTTGTCAGAAGTTAAACTGAGGTAACGTCTTCCTGGTCAAATTGCACTATTCAAAAACAGTTGTGAGGTTTTCCTGGTGTCCTAGCCAACAAACCCCCGAATAGAATTGGTTATTCTTTTCACGGCTGTTTGTGAAATATTGCTGTGAGTAAATTGTCAGCCATAGTCAGCTTTCTGCAGGAGCTCAGGGAACCATTCAATCATATCTTGCTTTGTATTGCTACTCCTGTACATGAAGGGCTCATTTATAATACATAGTCCTGATATTTGACTTTGCTTTAGATATGTCATTGCTTACTGCTCCTAAGTGTGGCGCAGAGAGATTTTTGCTCTCCTCGACACAGAGGTTCTTCTTTTGTAATGCATATGCACCTTCAGAGGAAATTTCAACCTTCTGAACTACAATATATCCAAGTCTAGCCATTTGAAATTCATATTTTGAAAAAAAGTATCTCGCGTTTATCAAGTCATGGCTTTTAGTATTTGTGCTAATTAATATCAGTTATTAGCAATTTTATATTGGTTATATTATAGGAAATTAACTCCAACAGCAAAGGCAGAAAAAATAAATGTATATGAAATGTACAAATAGTTTTCTTCCAATACATATATATTATAGAATTACATATCAGAGCTGTAAATTAGACAACAATAAGTGATGATGAAATGCATTTGTGTGCATAATTTTCACTGTAAGCTCTGGAGGATCCATGCATTTCATAATAAATAATAAATCATTACAACTGATATAGTGCCTTATCACATCATTGAGACATCTCAAAGTGCTTCACACTATATTACTGTGAAGTATAGTGACTGCTTATCTGTAGGTGGAAGTTGCAGCCAATTTGCACACGGCAATGTTCCACAAACAGCCAAAGTGAGTGACCAATTTTATTTGGAAGATTATTGGCCTAGAAACCAAGAGAAACTCCCTTCTCTCTTCGAATAGTGTCATGAGATCTTTAACATCCGCCTGAAAAGGCAGATGGGACCTCAGTTTAATATATTTTCGGAAGGACAGCACTTCCAATAATGCAGTACATTTGTATATTTACAAAGCATGCAAACAGCTTTAGAGTTCATCAACATGTTCCTTGTGGAACACATTTAATACAGCTAAACATTAGACTAAAGGTATGTGGACTCAAGCTTTGGAGAGGGTTGATGAACAAACATTTTAAATGCACAGCGTGTGGTGATATGTAAATAAACTATTCAGTGGAGGTAGATTGCATCACAAATTGAAGAGGGAATTAGAAAGCTGTTTGGGAACAAATCAATTGAGGGGTTTAATTACAGTAGTACAGGATTATCTATATATTTTTTAAATCTTTTCTCATCAGGTTGGATCTTTGGCCTTTTCTATGTTCCTAAGTGCTTATATTATTATACCTGAAATTTTTCTCCTTTGTTCATCTGAGTTGATCGAAATTCCGGAGAGTCGATGAAAGCATTTGGGTAGATATTGTGCAGGAAGTGGCCCCGATAAGAAACCTTCATTCTGTTGAACAAAATATCTGAAGTTAAGTTGCATCAGAAAACAATATTTTCTGTGAAGCGCTTTGAGACGTGTGATACTATTGTTTTATAGAATACACAGTATTGCATATGATTTTACAAGGGTTAATGAGCAACACTTTGCATTTGGTATGTTTATTTGTGGGACACTGCTGTGCGCAATTGGCTGCCGCATTTCACCCACAAATATACAGTCAATTCACTTTACAGTCTATTCTGTGAAGCGCTTTGAGACGTCTAGAAGACGTGAAAAGCGCTATATCAAATGCAAGGATTATTATTATTATTACTATCAAAGAATAACGAGACATTGCAAGCCATTAACTAAAAAACCTGTAGACTGAAATGAGACAACTGAGAGGATCCTGCTTGCAAGTGTTATCATTATTTTTATATTTATATTTTAAAACAAATGTTGAGAGGTTCACAGGGTGGTTGAGTCAATGAGCATAATGGAGAAGAATCTTTGGACTAGTCTAGAAATTAATTGAGAATCAGCTATCATCACGAATATTCAGGAGTAGCCACTACTTGGCAATTGTTGAAATCAAAGCCTAACATGAGTACAAAACATACAGTCCAGAAAGGTCTCTGATTTGGTGTAAATTAGCCATGTTCAATTGGAAGACAGGAATATTACAATCAACCTCAATGGCCTTGAGCTAAGGGGAGGGGTATGGAGGGTTCCCAATCACTTATCCAGTGGCTCCTCTATTTCGACATCAGCTGATGACAGGATCGGAATTGTCTGTCATGCAGAATGCAATAGCTGCCAACACTCCCTGCCTGGGTTCAAATATATAAATAAAGACCTGCCACTTAGCCGAGAAATAACGCAGGACAAACACCCCCTGTGAGATCCTCAGTTATCATCTTAGGAAGCGAGAGGAAGAAACAAAACGGAAAAGCAAGGAGGGAAAACGTACCCTCCATGTGACAGAATTTGAAGACCCATAAGATATTCTTTCACATGTTACACACATTCATATTTTTGGAAAAATAGCTGGAGTGCACATTGCTAAAGTGTAAGTGTGGAACATGGCATTAAGAAGAAAGATTATTCGACTGCAACGGTGACATTTGAACACACCAGACGCAGGCCATTGAGAAATGGCAATAACCTGTATTGGTTAACTTACAGTTTGATCTAAATTGGAATAAAAGTACTACAGTCCTGTTAATAAAAACGTTGCAGTGGATATACATATACTAAATATATAGTGAAACCAAGACAACTACCCTTTGACTTACTTTCCCTTTAACAGGACACTCAGTCGGACATCAACACAGGTTTTATCTTCTGCAGCATAAGTCTGATCTTTTTGGAGTGTCATAATATTGCAGAATTGCCCTGTTAATCTTTGGAACATTTCTGGAGGCACATGAAGCGGATCAAACATCCTCCTATAAAGTGCCTTGAGCTCCTTGTCAATCTTAATCTGGAATGAAACAAAGTACTTAGGTGTGATTGAACTTCATAATATTGTATAAAGTGACTCCATATAATACAGGGAAACCCTACTCTGAAGCAGTCAGCTGAGTTCAATTTCTCAATAATAATAATAATCCTTGCATTTGATATAACACTTTTCACGTCTTCTAGACGTCTCATTGCGCTTCACAGAATTTACTGTAAAGTGAATTGACTGAATACTTGTTGGCGAAACAAGGCAGCCAATTACACACCGCAGAGTCCCACAAACAGTTGTGGATTGAAGTGACCAATTTTATTATTATTTTTTTTCTTGAGGGTTAATTATCAGGGGTGTGGAGTAACGAAACTTGCCCAAGACTTCACCCAGCTGGGAATTGAACCCAGGACTCTTGCTTTCGAGGGGAGTGCTCTAACCACTGAGCTACAGGACTCAATGGTCACATTATAAACGTTTGCCCACAATATTTTATAGTATATCATGTGAAACGCTTTGAGACATCTCAACGATGTGATAAGGTGCTATATCAATTGCAAGGATTATTATTGTTATTATTTCCCTTTATTATAGCCAATTTCACAACATAGCACTCCTGAATTAAGTAAATACCGTTTAGATGTAGCAGTTAATTCAAATAAATAATAAGTACACCTTGGCATTGTACCCTCCCCACTTTAAAATATATTTACCAAAGAACTCCCCGACGACAATCCCAAAAGGATCCCATCCCCTCCACTCTGCAATCTAATTGTTCCAAAACTCAGTGACTGAGGATCTTTGCCCTCTCCAATCCTAAAATGCTTCCAGATTACATCAACAGATACAATACTAAAGTTAATCATTTTGTTTTCTTCCTCAGACAGTCAGCAGAGAAGCACTCAACAACAACAAATTGCATTTATATAGCACCTTTCACGTTGGGAGGATGTCCCAAGGCGAAGGACAATCGAGGGTTTGCACCCAAGCTGGAGTTGGATTTGAGAGGGCTGGAGGTGGGAAGATGACTCAAGGCATGGTCAAAGAGAAAGGTCTTGAGACCTTTTATTTTTTATTTTTGTAATCACTCAGTTCATAAAAAAAGTATGCACATCTGGCTGATGGGCTGGAGTTTGAATCTTTGTCACACAACATGTTCAGGTAGTAAATTGACATTTTAGAAGTGGTCTGAAGTCCCAACTTCAAATGGGGATTGGAATATGTCTTTTTAAAAAGATATAGAGCAGCAAGGTTAAATTTGGTCTCAGATCTGTATTTTAATGAGAATGTAATTATTTAATCGAAAAACCTGTGGGCTGTTGGGAGAACAGTAATTATCTAAGTCAGGGTTGTCCAACCCTCTACCAACCTCCTAACCCCCTCCAAACCTGCCCGCTCCCTCCTCTCAGAGGGCTCTGGCCTGTCTCACCATTGACGGGCATGCCTTCAGCCACTTTGCCCCCACCCTCTGGAACTCCATCTCACCTCCTCCAAGACCCATCCCAAGACCCTCCTCTTCAACCATGCCTTTGGTTACCCTCCTTCCCCCCACCTGCCCTCCACCCTCCCCCATCTCGACCCCCAGCTCAGGTCCAAAACACTGATTGTCCAGCTCCTGGGGACGTGCTCCCGATATGAAAGGTGCTATACAAATGTAATTTTGTTATTGTTGTCCAACCTTTTGGCTGCCGCGGGCCAGATTCCCTATTTGAGAAAGGTCCGCGGGCCACATCCAACGTGGACCAGCTGACAGTCCGTGGGCCACATCCAGCCCGGCCAGTGATTTTATCTGGCCCGAGACCATTTCCAACATTCCAACTTCCACTCCCTCTCTCCCTGGTGAACGTCCTCCCAGGGCAGCGACAGGAGCTAGAGGTTGGGAGGAAGAGGCACGGAGGGTGGAAATAATACCTGTCGTTACTGTAGTTTGTCAGGAAGGCAAGCGCGTCTCTTACCAACTGCGTCTTTAGTAACTTAGTCCTGCTGCTGCAGATAGTGACCCGCACGGCTGATTGGGAAAGAGGGAGATTGAGAGAGGGGAGAGAGGAGAGGGGGGGATGAAACAGGGGGAGACGGGGGAGGAAATAAAGTAAAACCAAATTTGTCAAACCCATGAGGCATTTCCTCTTTAACGGTGAAGATGTTGGCATGAGAATAACATGGAGCCACTTAGACTGAGTTAGACTCAGATAGTCTAAGGTGACACACCGATGCAGGTGTGCTGCATTGTCAGAAGTGCTGTCTTTCAGGTGAGACATTAAAGCGAGGCCCAATCTTCCTGTTCAGGTTGGATATTATAAATCCCATGCAATACAGTATTCGAAAAAAGAGAAGGGAGTTTTTCCTCGGTATACTGCCCAACAATCCCCCAGAAATGTTAGTCAGTCACTTAATGGCTGTTTGTGGGACACTGCTCTGTGCAATTTGGCTACTGCATTCACCCACAAAATACAGTCACTGCATAATAGAGTACATTTTGTGAAGTGCTTCGGGACATCCTTGCGATCATCTTCTATATACTAATAAAACGACAATGTCTGTCTGTGCTTCAAGAAGGATCTCAATAAATGATTGACGTAGAGACATGATTTATACCTCATCAGAAAGGTCTTGCACCTGATAGTGACATGGGTATATTTGTTTTCAGGTATCTCCTATTGTTCATGAGTTATTTTCAGTTTTGCGTTTTTGCTGCAGTTACACCTGGTGGCCGCCGAGTCAAAGTGGCTCTGTGGCATCGTGCATCACAGAGCATGCACGTAGCCAACCCCCACGTTTGGAAAGCTGGAAAGCAAAAGTTCTTCAAAGAATGAGGTCAAGAGTTTGGGGTTTTTAAAATAGGGAATTTCTGTCAACCCTGCCAAGAAAGCAAGTGGACGGCTTAACAAAAATGTTATTTCATCGGAAATGTCCTGTCTGTGAAGGGTTGTCTCAATTTCTTCATTTATGTAGCATTTTTTGAGCTTCCAGAATTTGGCAAATTGTTGAATTCAGTCTTAACTTTAAAGTTGGTTTCTCTGTGGCTCTGAAAAGAGCCTGTAAAAAAGACAGCTTTAAAATTATCGCTGATTTAAGGATCAGCTGTATTCTTAGCCCATTGAAATAATAATAGTAATAATCCTTACTTTTGGTATAGCGTCTGTCACATAGGATTGATGTCTCAAACAGCTTCACAGGATTTACTGTACAACGAAATGACTGTGTGGTTCGTAGGTGAGAGGGGCAGCAATTTGCTGACAACAATGTCCTACAAATGGCCGTGAAGTAAATGATCAATTTTATTAATCAATGCTACAACAATAAAGTGAATCCAAACCAGCTGGAATTTCTTCTCAATTAGGAAGGGCGAGCGAGTCAAAAGTTAATTTTACAAAGTGTTTAAAAATAGTGACGTAAATACTTACAGGTCTCCTTTTGTACACCAAATAGAGGAAATGCAGCATGTTGAGAAGCAGGAAAAGAGTATTCCAGATCATAATGTCCAAGGCACATTGGTAAAGTATTGCCCAGATGATAAAGAGTGCACAGGCTGTGAATGAAAATAAAATCAAACCTAGTCACTTCGAAATTCACTGCTGTACAAACAAGCTCATAGAGAAGTGAAGAAGAGCAGAGTTTGGGAGTAGATGGGATAGATATACAGAAATACAGCAAGTTAAAAAGTCATAAAACTTCAGCATTTTTGTGCGTAAAGGCATAATTCAGTACAAGGATGGGCTGGGCAGGATTCCTGTAGCTCGATGGTTAGAGTACTCGCCTCGCAAGTGAGAGAATAGTGTTCAATTCCTGGCAGGGCAAAACCTTGGGCAAGTTTTCTTACTCTACATGGTAGATGTTAAAAACTTTCTGTGAATGGACTCTATATTCTGTGAAGCACTTTGCAATGTCTAGAAGACTTGAAAAGCACTATATCAAATGCAAGGATTATTATTATAATATAGACTAGGGGCCAAGAATTCTCTCTGGTTTGGGACATAACTATAATATCTAGATTCTTTTAAGAACTTCAAAGAATTGGTTTCAAAATTCTGCACACTCTTGAAATGTTTAAAAAAAAGTTGAAGTCTATAACCAGATTTTCAGGCCCCAGAAGGAGCCCCTGGATTAGAGAGGAAAATCAGACAAGGTTCCTGCTACTTTGCCAATATTCACTGTCACAACTTGCACATGAATAATGGTATATAATAAGGGATAGAACAAAAGACTGGAAAACACCAGCTAACTAGTCCTACAGTAGAACAAAAATACACTGCTCTTCTTATACTCTTCAATTCATTGCTTTCCAAAATAACTCTATAATTCCCTCTTGAATTTGTTTCCCCTGCCTCCCTTGGTCGTCTATTCCACATATTTACCGTTCTGTGTTCAGTACTTAAATGGAAAGTGTCTCTTTACCTTTCCTCTTCAGAGCTGGAGCCTATGACTCATTACTACATTTAGGCATCAAAATTACTGTAAATATTGGAAACAGTACAACTTCCAACATTGCATTAGTAATTTCCTGAACTGATTTTGAAAGCTATTTTACAACACTGGCTTGATACTGACACAGAGTGAGTCAGTTGGGCAAGATGTTAAATAGAGAGCCTGTCTGCCTGATCAGATTGGATGTTAAACATCACATGGCACTATTCAAAAACAGAATAGAGAGTTTCTCCCTGGCCTGGCTAACAATGCCCCAAATAAAATTGGTCATTCACTTCATGTCTGTTTTGTGAAACATTGCTGTGTGCAAATTGACTGCCACATTTGCCTATAGAATACACAGTGACTACACTTTACAATATGTCCTGTGAAGTGTTTTGAGTCATCTTCCTGACGTGAAAGGTGTTATAGCAAATGTAAGGATTATTATTAATTATTATGTAACAAAGTAATGACATTACTGGATGAAGAAATTAGTTATGCAAATTTTTTCTCTGTCTACCCTCTCTTTCGTCTTCTTCCACGAGGCCTGGAAGCATCTTAGGTACCAATTCCTCTTGAGACTAATTGCCCTTCAGTTTCCTGCAGCATCCATTCCTCAAACACTCCCTTGGGCTGAACTTCAGCTTGTATCTGGCACAGTATTTGAACAGTTACATCCCTGTGTGTGAAACAAATGAGTTTTCCCTCCTGGACTAAATCTGACTGCTTCTGTTGAGGTGCAATAAATACCTTCAGTCCTGTGCTATTTAGTCTATCTTTTCCAAAGGGAATAGTGATTCATCCTCCCCCTAAAGGTTGGAGTTTCAGATCACCTTCAGACTAATGAAAGGCAAACAGTACTGAAAAGGTTGACTGGGCTGAAGGTAGTTAAGTCGCTTGGTCCGGACAGGGTGCAGCGAAGAGTACTATGGGAGGCACGGGTACAAATAGCGGAGGCTTTGGCTACAATTTTTCAATCTTCGTTGGACACAGGAGTGGTGCCAGAGGACTGGAGAGTGGCCAATGTTACTCCCCTGCACAAAAAGGGACAGAAGGACAAACCTGGGAACTACAGGTCAGTCAACTTAACATCAGTAGTGGGGAAACTCCTGGAGACTATAATCCAGGACAGAATAAATCTTCACTTAGAAGAATATGGGTTAATTAGGGACAGCCAACATGGATTTGTTAAAGGCAAATCTTGTCTCACAAATTTTTTTTTCGATGAGGTAACGGAGAGGGTGGATAAAGATAGTGCAGTTGATGTAGTTTATATGGATGTTCAAAAGGCATTTGACAAAGTGCCACATGAAAGACTTGTAAGAAAGATAGAAACCCATGGTATAAAAGGGACAGTGGCAGCACGGATCCAGAACTGGCTGGGAGACAGAAAGCAGAGAGTTGTGGGGAACAGCTGCTTTTCTGACTGGAGGGAAGTGTTCAGTGGCATCCCCCAGGGATCGGAATTAGGACCACTGCTTTTCTTAATATACATAAATGATCTGGAGTTCGGTATAGCAAGTACCATTTCCAAGTTTGCGGACGACACAAAGTTAGGTAGGGTGGTAAACAGTGAGAATGATAGTAGCCAACTGCAAGAAGACATAGACAGAATAGTAAAATGGGCAGACACATGGCAGATGAATTTCAATGTGGAGAAATGCGAGGTAATGCACTTTGGTAGAACGAATGAGGGGAGGCAATATAGGCTCGATAATATAATCTTAAGGAGGGTGAAAGAACAGAGAGACCTGGGGGTTCAGGTAAATGAATCCTTGAAGGTGGCAGGACAGGTAGATAAAGCTGTAAAAAGGGCATATGGGATACTAGGCTTTATAAATAGGGGCATAGAGTACAAGAGTCAGGAGGTTATGATTAACCCATATAAAACACTGGTTAGGCCTCAGTTAGAATACTGCGCCCAGTTCTGGGCACCACACCATAGGAAGGATGTTAAGGCATTGGAAAGGGTGCAGAGGAGATTTACGAGGATGGTACCAGGAATGAGGGACCTTGATTATGAGGAAAGGCTGGAGAGGCTGGGATTATTCTCATTGGAGCAGAGAAGGTTACGAGGAGACCTGATAGAGGTCTTCAAAATCTTGAGGGGATTTGATAGGTTAGAAAGTGAAAAACTGTTTCCATTGGTGGGTGTGTCGGTGACTCAAGGCACAGATTTAAAATAGTCTCTAAATGAAGCAGAGGGGAGGTGAGAAGACATTTTTTCACGCAGTGAGTTGTTCGAATCTGGAACGCATTGCCTGAAAGGGTGGTCGAGGCCGATTCGATAACAACTTTTAAAACGCGGTGGATGGGTTTTTGAGGAGGATGGGTCTGCAGGGTTATGGGGAAAGGGCTGGGAAAGCGCCGGCACAGACTTGATGGGCCGAATGGCCCCTTTTTGTGCTGTATGATTCTATGATTAGTAAAGCACCAAAGAGGACATTTCACTTTTGAACTGTGCAGTGAAATGACATTTTGATTCAATGTGGAAATGCTGGTCTATTATCCTGGCAGAAATTATAGCTCATGGTTTGTTAACTAAATGTATATCCTGTGTCATCACCTCCAAGTCAGAAGGTTATGGACTCAAGCCCACGTCGGGCCTTTGAATTCACAAGTCTAGGCTGACACTGCAATGCAGTGCGGGGGATTGGGGAGGGGAGAGGTCTGCATTGTTGGAGGTGCCATCCTTTGGATAATTCATTAAACCAGGATCCTGTCTACATGTTCAGGTAGAAATTAAAGACCCCAAGGGAATTGTTCCCAATGTCCTAGCCAACAATCCAAGATAAAATTGGTCATTCACTTCATTGCTGTTTTCGGGATATTGTTGAGCACAAATTAACAAACTGCAAATTGGCTGTCAGACAACCATAAATGCAGTTACTACACCTCACATAAAATTCTCTGAAGAATTTTGAGTAGCTTTGACGATGTATTAATGCGCTATATCAAATGCAACAACAACTCGTACTCTATGTAGTGCCCTTAACTGGAGTATTGTCTCGGAGTGCTGAAATGCAAGGATTATTATTATTTGATCTTTAGATAGTGCCAACACCGCCTTGATTCTTCTGAACCTGACCAACTACATCCACAGTGGCAGCCCCAGCAAAAGATTATCGTTTAAAATGACACTTTTGACTCGAAAATTGGTAGTGACAGAATCAAAATATGGACCAGCCCACCACCAATTGAACAACATCACGCCTGTAAAATCAACAACTCCATTTACAGATTTATAGCCTTGAAGACCAATATTTTCACTTCTCCATCTCAGAGTAACTGATTTAAAATTGTAACACCAACATAATGTATTCCTAACACATTCCCTCAACGGATGGCACTAGTGAGACGTACTGCACATGTCTCTTTTCTGGTTTGTATCCACTCCCTCTGTATTCTCTTAAAGTAATCAGAACTAAGACTGCAATATTGGTCTAAGAAGCAATACAGTGGTGCAGATAGCTGTCATAATCTGATATTTTAATTTGATATAATGCCTTTCATATCAGGAGAATGTTTCAAAATGCTTTGCAGGATATACTGTAAAGTGTATTGACTGTATCGTGTAGGCAAACACAGCATCTAATTTGTGCATAGCAACGGACCCCTATCATACAGTTTGTCAGGGTAACTGATCTGGACAGGAACACAGCTCTGTGCACAAGGTCGGACAAGGCACATTAACCAAAGATTGTATCTTTGCTGCAAAATGAGAGAGTCTAACATTCTGAGCTCAAATCTCAACCCATTTGGACACAGATCGCAGTCAACTAAGTGAAGTAACCTGTGGAAAGGGAAGGAACACTACAGGTGTCATATTATTACTAAAGTGATATTCCAGATTTTGGAAAATTTATGTAGCTATTTTGGATCTGGGTTGAAAACATGCTGCCCCACATTGATTGATTTGGGGATTGTTATTTTCCTGTAAAACAGCAGAAAAACCTGTAAATATACAGGAGCACGTTTTTCTTAGCAGCTCTGTCTGTAGCCTTTCTATGTTATTAGCAAATCAGTCCTGGTCCTCTGCTGCTCACAATATTTAGAAATGTTCCTGATGAACCTAAACACGTCTTCAAATTTAGAGGCACCAACCTTCAAAACACACTGCCAACTGGTGCAGCAAACAATGAGTCAGCCAAAGCATTCAAACAGGATTTGAACCAATTTCTAATGCAACAAAGAAATAGAAGGGAAAAGAACACAAGTTGACAAAAAGCTCAATAGGGCCAATACTCAACCCTCCAGTACATTACCTCTGTTATCATAGTAACCATTTGTGCTTTGAATAGTCCCAAAGATTTTCTCTCCAATAACTATCACTTGATAATTATTCCAAGTATCTATCAATGAGTACAATTGTTTTCCTAATGTAGAATCATTGATTTGTCCGATTTATCCCGACCCTTGTACCTTCCTCCCCTCTCCCTTACTTCATGTAGCTGCGATCTGTGCTCAGATGAGTTGAGAACTGAGCTCAGAATGTCGGACTCTCCCTCTTTTGCAGCCCAAAGCAATGCAGCCTTAGGCTAATGTGCCCTATCTGAGCTTATGGACAGCAGTGCTGCAAAATCAACCAACAGCTATATAGATAAGGGTCCATTGCTGTGCACAAATTTACAAATTTAAAATATATTATTATAGCAGTAAAAAGTAGGAACTTGGTCGTAGTTGATTGGCGGATTGCTTTCCGGGGGTAATAATCTCTCCCACTCAAAAAAAATGATACTTGATTACTCAATCCATGACTGTTTGTAGGATGCTGCTGTGTTCAATTGGTTGCCGCGTTTCACCCACAAAATATATGGTCAATTCACTTTACGATATATTCTGTGAAGCTCTTTGCAATGTCTCAACAACGTGATAAGGAGTCATATCAAATGCAAGTATAATTGTTATTATAGCACAGCAAAAACCCTTTTATGTTTTCCATTTCAATTTTTTTNCCCTTTTAAAAGTAAATTCCCTTTTAAAAGTTTTGTTGTGAATTTACTTTACAATAACTTCCATTTATATCCACTGGTAGCACTACTTTATCTTGACTTTCAGTCAGAATTTCCCTCATTTAGGATATTAAGTGTTATATAATTCAGTGAGATTCATTGCCTCTATAGATAATAAAGGTTACTTGCCTCATCCTCCATAGCATGTTCCCTGCACAAGTGGGGAATCAATTGCAAGTCCACACACGGTTTGGCAATATCAATAAAACTGAATACGGTTTTAAATGTACTCTGCCAATCACAAATCCTTTGAAGAATATTTAACTGTTGCAGTTCCCTAGCCATCTATTAGTTTTTTGACAGTAGACAAGTAGACTTTTTTGCCAGCAGATCCAAACAACTGTTTGTCTCTCCCACTTTCTGCCCTCTCTGCTCCAATTCTATTGCATTCATTATATATCTAGCTCTTGAACGTGTAACATTTCATTGTATCGGTGCGAAATTTAATGTGGCTAATTCCATAACCCGTGTTAATCCTTTGCTGCGTTTTCAGTCAGTGATAATCCTAAACTGACACTGGATTCCCTCCCACACGCTGGTCCTTGTTCCTGGTATGTATTGCTCACCTGCGCTTATCATAGCTCGCAGGAGGATCATGTGGAGTTTGACTGTGGTTGGGATGACCAGCCCAATGGCTAAGCACAGGTTGGCGACGTGGAATACCATATGATGGATTTCTTTCCAATTATCACATTCATTGGTCTGGTCTGCAAACGGCTCCGTCACGTCACCCAAAACAGCAGGTGCCGAGGAGGTGTTGGAGGAGAGGAAGCTGGACATCCACGAGGTTTTCGGTGTAACATTCATCCTGGCAAATTAAATCTGTGACAGCAGAGAGATCGCAGGAGAAAAGGGTCAGATAAGATCTAGTGGAAGCAGATGCGAGTCAAGCCGTGCAACCCATCACTAGAGCCCTTGGCCAGCAAGTCCTGCTCGGCTTTTCAACGCTATTCGGATTTGGTATGTGAAGCGCAAAACGAGGCGAGGCGTCTCCCTCCATCAGCCCCCCACCTCCTCCCCGCACCCCCCCATAACACCCCCCCCAGCACTGCTCTGGATGCAAAAACACCCCCTACCACAGAGATGGTGCAACGTGAAGTGTGAATCACAAGATGGTTGTGATCAAACTAGTGAGAGAGAGACAGAGAGAGACACAGAGAGAGAGAGAGAGCTAGAGAGAGAAACAGAGAGACAGAGAGAGAGAGACACAGAGAGAGACACACACAGAGAGAGAAACAGAGATAGAGAGAGAGAGAGAGAAACAGAGAGCTAGAGAGAGAGACACTGAGAGAGAAACAGAGAGATAGAGAGACACAGAGAGAGAAACAGAGAGATAGAGAGAGACACACGAGAGAGAAACAGAGAGATAGAGAGAGACCGCGAGATAGAGAGACACAGAGAGGGAAACAGAGAGATAGAGAGCGTGAAACAGAGAGATAGAGAGAGAGAAACACAGAGAGAGAAACAGAGAGAAAGAAAGAGAGATAGAGAGAGACACAGAGAGAGAAACGGAGAGACAAGAGAGAGAGAAACAGAGATAAAGAGACACAGAGAGAGAAACAGAGAGAGAGAGAAACAGAGAGAGAAACAGAGAGATAGAGAGAGACACAGAGAGAGAAACAGAGAGATAGAGAGAGACACAGAGAGAGAAACAGAGAGATAGAGAGAGAGAGACACAGAGAGAGAAACAGAGAGAGCGAGAGAGCCTGTGAAGTCAGGTCAGGCTGCAGTGTGGGCACCACAAGTGCTTTCCTTCTCACACCTTCTCATGATCACATTCCCAGTTGTCAGTGATCTAACACTGCGCTCTATCGCCGCTCTTCAAGAACAACTTCTCAATTGTTTTGAATCTATATATATTATATATAAAGAGCTATTTGCCGCTATATTTTTGAGGAGGCAAACTAATCACTGTTACATTCCCAGCTCCTGCTCCAGGAAAGGCAGCCTCAGCAGCTACAACTCTCCTCCTCTACTCGCCCCAAACTCACACCCCCACCCACTCACACCCCCACCCACCCACCCACTCACACACCCACAGACCCACCCACCCACTCACACACCCACCCACTCACACCCCCACCCACCCACCCACTCACACACCCACCCTCACACCCCCACTCACACACCCACCCTCACCCACCCACCCCCACACACCCACCCACACACACCCACACACACCCACTCACTCACCCACCCACACACCCACAGACACCCCCACCCCCAGACACACACCCACCCACAGACACCCCCACCCCTACCCCCACCCACAGACACCCCCACCCCTACCCCACACACAGACATCCCCACCCCTACCCCCACCCACAGACACCCCACCCACAGACACCCCCACCCACAGACACCCCCACCCCCACCCCCACAGACCCGCAGCAACTGACTGCCAACAGGGAGTTTATTTCCAATAGCTCCAAATGGTGAAACACACCACTGACACTGACACCGCCTCTCACAGCCCCAAACAAAACAGAGCCTCAAACAAACTTATTTCCCCTGTGATGTGAGCAGCGCCCCCCACCCCCCAGCCAGAGCCACAGCCAGAGCCAGAGCCAGAGCCACAGCCACAGCCACAGCCAGAGCCACAGCCACAGCCAGAGCCACAGCCACAGCCACAGCCACAGCCACAGCCAGAGCCACAGCCACAGCCGAGCAGCTCCTGCCCCTCCCTCCCTCCCTCCCTCCCTCACCGTAAAGCCTAACCCCCCACACCCCCCCCACACCCCCCGGGACTGACCGGGAGCAGAGCTCAGCCTCAGCCCCGAGACAACCCCCCCCTCCCGCTCCCCCCCTTCCCCACCGCTCCCAACTTCCCCTCCGCTCCCACTCCGGCTCTCGGGATCACTCAAAACTCGGTACCTGTTTTCTGAACAACTTTTAAAAACAAACAAACAAACAAACAAACGCGTGAGTGTGTCTCTCTCTCTGTATATATATATATATATATAATATAATATATATGATCTATATTTACCTTCGCCGCAGATATCTAACCGCTGTGAATTATTGTGTGGGCGACAGAGCAAAGTGAGCAGCGCCCACACAGAGAGGCTGCAATGTCGGTCGGTCGAGAGAGAGAGAGAGAGAGAAGAGGGGGAAAAAAATGCAGCGGAATGAAGCGCAGAGCATCGACTAAAATGGACATGAGAGAAGCGAGTGGCGGAGGGGAGAGAGCGCACCCTCTTGATTGACAGCACAGTCACTACAGCTCTCCGCAACCACCAGGTGGTGAGACGTCTCGCTTCAGGGGCCACTGCTGCCTCCTCTGCATAGGGTTTTGTCACACAGGGGAAAGCAGCGCAATAATGATAATAATGATAACAATAATGATAATAATCGTCGTCCTTGCAATTTTGATGTCGCGCCTCATCACGTCTTCGAGGCGTCTCACAGCATACACCGCAGAGTGAATTGACTGTATGTTTTGTGGGCGAAACGCGGGCGGTCAATTGCTCACAGTGTCGCTTGTCTGGATAGTGTAGTGTGAGCAGGAGGGTCATTTGTCAGCCAAACTCCCATATCTATTTTAAAGCTGAATGAGTTATTGTTCACCCCCCCCCCCCCACACACACACACACACACACACTTTCCGTCCTTACGGATCAGGCCGAGGTTAAATCAATGTCCCATCTGCCTGTTCAGGTGGATCTCAAAGATCCCGGGCCACTTTCGAAAAGAGAAGGGGAGTATTTCTTGGTCAACATTCTCTCTGGATGAAATTGGTCACTCGTGTCATTGCTGTTTGTGGGGCATTGAAGGGTGCAGGGTCTCGGATGTTACCATCACCAACAAGGCCATCTCTGACCACCATTTCATTACCCTCAACTCCTCTATCCCTCTCCCCACTGCCTCCAAACCTACCACCATCTCCTACTGCCCGTGGAAGAAGATCTCCCCACAATCTCTCTCTGCTGTCCTGGAATCCTCTGAACTCCTCCCCCCTGGCCCACCTCCCACACCAACCCATCCTCTGTGTTTATTCTCCTCCACAGCACCCTCTCCATCACACTCCTCCTCCTCTGGCCCACCTCCCGAAATGCCTCCTAGTCCCAATCCTCACCCTGGTTCACCAGCCACCTTCGCTTGCTCAAGGGCCAGGTGTGGGTTGCCAAACGCACTTGGCTCAAATCCGGCCTAATGGTCCACCCATACATCTGGCTGGACCTCATCAAAACCTACCGCTCTACTCTCCCCTCGGCCAAATCATCCTTCTTCTCTAGGTTAATCCTGGAGGTGAAGGGCAACCCCAGGCTCCTGTTCTCCACCACCAACCGGCTCCTCCACCCTCCCCGCTACTCCTCTCAGATTCTTTCCACTGACTCTCACTGCGAGGAAATGCTGGACTTCCTCAAGTCCAAACTCGAGGGAATCCGCTCAGCTGCCACTGCACTCCCAACTTCCACCCTCTCCCTACCCCCACCCCACACTCCGACAATAACCCAGCCCTCCTTCCACACCTTTGTACCTGTCACCACCTCCTCTATCATCACCACCATATCCTCCATGAAGCTCACCACTTGCTCCTTGGACCCCATCCCCATCCTTCTCCTTAAATCCCAGCTCCTCTTCCTTGCCCCACTACTCGCCGACATCATCAACCTCACCCTGTCATCTGGCACTGTTCCTACCCCCCTCAAAACAGCTACCATCACACCCATCTTGAAGAAAGCTCCCTTGACCCATCACAGCTATCCAGCTACCGGCCCATCTCCAACCTCCTTTTTCTGTCCAAGGTCCTCGAGAGAGAGCTGATGTCTCCCAGCTTCGCTCTTTCCTCTCTTTCCACTCCCTCCAGGAACCCCTGCAATCGGGTTTCTGTGCTGCCCACAGCATGGAAACTGCTCTGGTCAAGGTCACAAATGACATCCTGACCATGTGTGACCAGGGCTCCCTCTGTCTCCTCGTCCTCTTCGACCTCTCCACCGCCTTTGATACTGTGGACCACTCAATCCTCCACCACCGCCTCTCCTCCCACCTCAACCTTCAAGGTTCTGTCCTTGACTGGTTCAGGTCCTACCTTTCACACCACCTCCACTTCGTCTCTGCAAACGGCTTCTCCTCCAGTCCCCGCACTGTCTCGTGTGGCGTTCCTCAGGGCTCTATCCTCGGTCCCCTCCTCTTCACCCTCTACACGCTCCCCCTTGGTGACATCATCCGCAGACATGGGGTATATTTCCACATGGATGCGGATGACACTCAACTCTATCTCTCTGCCTCCACCTTCAACTCCAGGACTACTGGCGTCTTGACCGACTGCCTGTCCGACATCAATTCCTGGACGAGGGACAACTTTCTCCAACTGAACGTCAGCAAGACCGAGGCTCTCCTGATTGGCTCGTGCCAGCGCCTCCGCACCTCAGGCGCTGGCAGCATCAGCCTCCACGGCTGCACACTCAACCTCACTAACCCAGTCAGGAACCTGGGTGTCTTGTTTGACCCTGAACTGTCCTTTCTCCCCCACATCCGCGCCATGACCGTCACTGCCTACCCCATCTCCGCAACGTTGCCACTGCCTCACCCCTCAGGCTGCTGAAACCCTCACCCACGCATTTGTCACATCAAGGCTCGATTATGGAAACTCCCTCCTTATCGGCCTTCTCAACTCTTCCCTTCACAACCTGCAGATTATCCAAAACTCTGCAGCTCGTGTACTCTCGCGCACCAGGCTCCGTGACCCCATCACTCCCACCCTCCCCAACTCCACTGGCTCCCCATCCCTATGAGGATCAAATTCAAGATCCTCATCCTCACTTTCAAGACAACCCATGGCCTTGCCCCCTCCTACCTCTCTGACCTGCTGA